AGGATAGGATAGGAAAGGATAGGATAGGAAAGAAGAGGAGAGAAACTCTCTTTGCAACAGTTTTTTTTTTGTTTTCCAACAGTTAGATCTGCTGATTCTGTTGTTTAAATCTAACTAATCCCTTCTATCCCTAATCTTATCCTTTTCTCTATTCTTTTTTGTTGATCTGTTCCAAAACTTTATTCACAAATACTCAACCAGAACCAAATCTTCCAATTTTTTCTCTTTGTAAAATAGAAAATGTGAAGTGCTAAATGTTGGATGAGAATGAAGAAGAGCTGGACGAGATTCTCAACCACCTACACAAATTCCAATTTTCATTTTTATTCCATTTGGCTCTGATTAATCAAACAATTGTTTTAGTCAATTATCAAACTTGTTTTTAAACTAATCAATTAGTTTCTCTTTTTTTGAATTTAATTTAAATTTAATGTCTTCTTTTGAATTTAATTTTTGAATTTAATTGTTTTCTTTGTATTTTCCGAAAACATTTGGAAAACTTTCGTGTTATTATTTTCTTAATGTAAAAGAGAAAAAAACTCAAATTTCCATAATAAATATGACAATTAATTTGACACAAAAAATTTTAAAATTATGAATTCGAAATTTTGAAATGTCACGTAAGTCTTTTCGAATTCGAGATTTTCACTGTTACTTTTCAATATCTCACATCCCACTCTTATCCCTAACAATTACTTTTCTCCTCTCCTATTCTTCCACATTTTTTTGCTAACTGATTTGACTAATCACAGTTTTTTTAACAAAAAATCATCATTAATGTAAAATTTTTGCGAAATTTCATTTTTTTTTACAATTATTGATCGAAAAAAAATTTTTTGCTACTGAATGGTGAGAGTATCAGATGTTGCCAGCACTTTAGTGCATCTTTCATTTTTAGCTACCAATTTTTTATTGATGATTCATAATCGAAGTACGAATAAAATATAAGTAAGTGGGGAAAGTACAAACAAGTTAGGTATGATAAATATGTATATGTATGTATATCGCAATAAACAAAAATGTAATGATGGCGCGTCTGTCATTCGTTTAATTACTCTAAAAATAAATAGAAGCTTTAAACTTTTTAATGATCAAGAGTAGAAGTATATTTTCAAACGATTAAATAAAACTTAATAATTGAAACATATCCTCTTTCTCTCTCTCTCTCTTTCTCCCTCTCTCTCTCTTTCTCTCTCTCTCTTTCTCTCTCTCTCTTTCTCTCTCTCTCTTTCTCTCTGTCTCTCTCTTTCATTCTTCTCATCTCCCCTAATCTCGCCTCATTTCAAAATAGCCTGAAAGCTTTGAAAAAATCATAAATTAATAATTCCATTTATTCTCCTCAATCTCTTGAATAATTTTAAATAAATTATAAACACAAACAATAACAAAAAAAATACGTAATTTTCAATTTCATAGTACAATTAATTTGTTACATTTCAAATTATCAATCAGTGATATAATTTGCCTCTTACAATTATCAAATTAGTGATACGGTAATTTTTCACTTCTAAAATTAAATTCAAATATCTTACTAATTTTTTTTAATTTATATTTCAGTAAGTGAAATGGTATGTAGGAAGTGCAAATAATAGAGTGAGTGCATTTAGAGATCGATAGCTAAAGGGGAGCGGAGAAGGTTAGTTCAGAGAGTGCTTCTGTCGCATATCCCTCCCTCATTTTCATATTTCTTTTTTCAAAAAAAAAAAAAAAAGCATTTAATGCTTTTCTGAAAAAAAAAAAATAGTAAGAAAAGATTTACACGAAAATGAAACCGGAAACGATGGAATGAAAGACCTGACATTGAGGTTTTTTTTCTTTTTTATTGTATCATTTCATTACGGTTATAGTTACTGTATGAATCATTTCTTGCATCATTATTTCAATTTTTTTTTCTGCTTTTACTTTATTGTTGTTACGACTTAATGTTTCCTTGTTTAAGTATTCGGAATGAATTCATTTTTTTTTTTTGAACGAATTAATTTGATGTTTAAAAATTCGGAAATATTAATTCTTTTTTGATTGCTATATCAAATTAAATATATAATGGATTGGTGATAATTTAATTTAACTCTTAGTAATTTATTATAATACAATCACTTATAATCGATAATATCTATTAAATATTTACTGAAAATATGTATTTTATCCTCATCATTCAGATTTACCAAAAATTTTTATCATACAATTAATATTATAAATGTAGCAGGAAAAGAATTGACTCATCTCACAATGAATTTGCTGAGTGAATGAATCGAGAATAGTATATAAATGTTTCACAGGTTAAATTGAATAATGTAATTTAAAAATTTCTTTGCATATATAAATTAAAAAATGTAATTCATTACCATAATTGTTTTATCATATGATGAAAAATAAATTTATAAGATAAATTCCATTTGATTTGTTGTAATAAACAAAATAAAAAAAAAATTCTCATTCATCTTTGATGACTTAATAAAGCATTTAATCATTAAAATATTTTTTTAAAACAAAACAGAAAAAATAAATTTGATCAGAAAAATTTTCACCTAAAATTATGCATAACCATTTTTAAATTAATTACAAATGAAAAATTGCCGATATTGTTTGATTTCAACAAAAATCTTCAATATACATTTTTCATACACATTGGATATCAATTTCATTTGATCACTGCGCATTCCTATAATTATCGCATTTTTGAAATAAATTTCGAGCATAAAAATTTTCCTAGGAAAAATTCTTTCGACAATCATTAAATATTGATTTTCAATAATAAATTTAATGTGTCATTTCATAAACAAATTTAAACATTCATTCTTAATGTGATCATATCACATTGTCTCGTATTTCCTTTTTCCTCTCTGTAAGAAATGTTACAATTGTTGATATTACTGATGATGATGATGATGATGATACAGATGTGATAATCGAAACAATAGGAGGATTCTTTTTCTTTTTTTTTTTTGCTGCTATTAACTGGAAGAAATCAATTTCTTATTTAAAAATGACTCATTCATTTTATGCTAATGTATATATGTGAACTGAATTTGTATGAGTGAACCAAAATGATCATAAAATTGAATAATTTATATGAATAGGAACATCATCGATTACTGAGTACATTTTAGCATATTATATTCTTTTAATTTTCTTTTCATTGAAAATTTTATTGGAAATGATTAATTTCAGGTAAAAGCCATAATGTTCAATTTCGAATTTCATGGGCCATCTTTTGGATCACATTTTAATTTAATATATCTGCTAAATCTAATAACAATTATCGTTTCATTCAATATCGATGTTAGGCATCCGGTAATTCATCGAAGTGGTGCTAATTCAATGTTTGGCTATTCAATTGATTTCTATCAACATGAAGGAATGACACTGTAAGTATTGCAAGTTTTTAAATAAATTTTTTAAAATATTAAATTTGATCATATATTTTGTATTTTACTACATTAATTTTAATTTATATGATTTTTAAAAATAAATGAATTAAGAAAATGTGTTAATTTGGATTCGTTTGGAAATTTTCCATTCATTGAAGTGCATGTTTAATGGTTGGAAAAGTCTATAAAAATTTTTTTTCGATCACAGTAGGTATTAATTTATTGAATTTGAGCGAATTTAGGAAGTAAATAAGTTGTGTGGATGAGAAAGTAAAGAAAGTATGATTATTTAAATTCAAATCATTACGTGATCTGTCGAAAAAAAAAAACGTTAAGTTAATGCAAGTAAACAGATAAATTAATTAATCAATTGGTAACATTTTTATTTTTAAAAAAAGAAAAGAAAAAAAACTGCTCACTAAGTAGTTGTGTCGTTGAATTTTGATTAAAACATTTGATAATAAAGGAATTTTCATTATTAAAATTTAACATGTCTTCGAAAGATCGTGCTACTCATTGATCATTATTAGCAGTTTTCCGAAGTGATTTACCGTCTATCACTGATCTCTGAGTGCAAAACGATGCTTAAAAAATAAAAAAAAAGGTAAAGCTAGAAAATTGGAATAATGAAGTTGACATCCTTAAATGTTTGTTTTTTTTTTCATAGATTATTCGATACATCAGTTGTTCATTCATCATTTACTATTCATTTTTCCAGTTTTTTTTTCAATTTCAAATAAATAAACATTAGTAATAATGCAAATAATATTTACTTAGCGCTCACTTTTTGGTATTTATTTTGAAATCAAAATTCTCAAATAATTTAAGGTTTATGGAAGTGAGTAATAAGATATACCAAACAATCATTTGGCATATTTGATTAATTTTATTAATAAACTATAAGATGAAATATATTGCCGGATTCGTTTTTTTTTTTGCAGTATTGACGGTTTTTCGAAGAAAGGAAATAAAAATGGTTAAAATGAAATGAATTAGAAAATAAAAAATCGGAAGCCTTTCAATATTTTATGCTTATCTTTAAGCGATTTATTCATCTTAAGCGGCTTAATTAAATTAGAAGATATTTGAGAGGCTTTTATTGTCAAACTCTTTTAAAAACTTTGCATGACATTCTATTTAGCAGTGCCCAAAGATGATTAATTTTCCAAAATTTTTATAATTTAAATTTAAATTTGAATCTATCATTAAAGTACGTATGACAAAATGAATGATTTTTTTTCTTGTCATTTCATCATTTCTTCGCAAAAACTTATTTAAAATTTTCCATCTATTACATGCAACGATAGTTATTCCAAATTGATATAAATTTTGATGACAATCGGCAAATGTAAATTGTCCACAGCTTATTTCCAAATCAAATTAATCATAAAATTCACTTAATAAGCTTGAAAAACAAATAACGAAAATTTTCACTTTCAATGAGAAAATTTGTCAATTTTTCTTTCTAAAAAAACCTATCAGAATTCAAAATCTTGAAAAGAATTAATGAATTTTAATCGAAATGGATCAGAATTTTATCAATTACTTAAAACAATGTAATACGTATGCTTTCAATTACTGTCAGAAAAGTTACAGTTTACTCGTTGGTTCACCAAAAGCAAACAGCGGTGCCAAACAGCCAGGTGTCAAAAACAGCGGTGCCGTATTTCGATGTTCTGTGGAAAAACCGCTTTGCTCTGAAATTTTTCTCGATCGAAAAGGTAACATTTTTTTTTTTTTTCGAAACATTTTTCAAATTTTGAATTTTTAATGACAAATAAAATTCTTGTAGCACACAGTATGAGGAAAGTGCAATCGATCGGAATGTTTCCTTCTTATAGGCGCACTAAATTTACGCATTTACGCATAAAATCCATCTGATTTCCAAATTTTTTTTTTTTTAGATTTATTGATAGTCAACGTTTGAAATATTTGTCTCATCTTCAGTAATAACTCCCA